TGACTGCGTTAACTGGGCCAAATTCAGACGGCTGTGATTTGTGCCCCACCATACCATAGTAGTGTCATGCTTCAATTCGATTAAACGTTGGCATTCTCCGGTCACCATCTGTAAAGTCATTTTCGGATCCTCTTACAGTTTGTCAACTCATGCATCTTACCTATTCTTCTCTACTGTTCACTTCTGCTTGTTCTTTCCTGGATTGCCTAAAAGGGACTATGTTATACTTCGTAGAACTCTGAAGACTGTCAGTAGGGCGAGTGGTATCCCATTGGGCCATATCGTTGACATCGTCATTGATAGGCACTTGATTTGATGCAACGAATTCGCTAAATGAATTCAGTCAGACTCTGAGCACCCACTCTACCCGCAGCTCCAACCTTGTGTCTCCTCCTCAGGTAAAACAAGAAGTCTTTTCAGAAGAATTTATGCACGTACGTCTAAGTATAAAAATTCCACTATACCATATTTGGCACGGACTTTATGTGATGAAAATATTGCTAGGCATGAACTAACTAACCTTCTTCGTACTAGTAAATCAACCATATTCTCCACCCTTATAACATCAACCTTTATTGTTATTGTACCTCTTATATATAATCCTCGCAGTTTTTTGTTTTTATTTGTTTATTTTCTCAAAAGTGTAAACATCATTTAAGCTGTGTTATGACTGTTAATTTTGCCTTTCCCCTCACTACACTATATCAACAGAACATTAGATTCAATAATCTATAACATGCTAAAATTTTCAAACTGAATCGCCAATACTGTTTGGAACAAACTCACTGTTATTATTATTATATTTAATATTCGCAATTCGTACCCCGAATATTTTTGAGTTTATATCGTAAATGTGGACAAATTCTTCTGGTTAATTTTGTTTTAATTTTTAATTACATTTTCTGAGTAAATCAGATGCAATATTGTGACAAATGCTCAGAATTCCATTCTGTGTATTATAAGTACTGTTTTTGGAATAAAGTAGACAACAGGAGTCGAGTTAGAATGTCAGCATCTTTAAGGCTCTTCAAACCACAAATAAAAAAACAAGCACTTGAACTGGTCTGATGTCATCTCGTGTGATTTGTATTTTTCACATTGCATGTTCACTTTGCTAGGATAAGTGACATAATCGTCGGAATATACTTCTGGTAACTGAAGACATTAGTACACTCAATTCTGAACATGGATGATTGTTCACCAAACACTTCTGAGATAAAATGGTGACTGTGTCATCGAATGAGACAGTTCACGTGAATTCTTTGGCAGAATAAAACTAAAATATTTGTTGTGCTCGACAGAACCAAGTTTTCGTTAAAATAATCGAACTTTCGCAGCATCATCGAACATGGTATATATTCAATACAAAAACGCCTTTGTAACGATTGAACTGTGAATCAATTACAAGGCCAGACTGTTGGCATTAGATGGTTGGAGGCAATCGGCAGGAAGCCTCGGACCTAGGTTTCGTGCTAGTTGGCACTCATCAACAAGGCGTGTCTGCAACCTTGAAGGAACTGATGTCCCTTCTGAGATTCGAACCCGCGTCACCCAGTGCTGAAGTCAGAGACGTTACCATTTAGCTATTCAGGCTCGCGATTGACCTCCTGTAGGACTGAATTGGATATTTTGGCGAGACACCTAGCATGGTGGCCACATTGCAAGCTTGACTGATAGAATTCAGTCTGCAGCCAAGATAAGTAAGATTAGATACATTACACTAGTTACTGACTAGTGTGCAATCAAAACAATACAAGGCCAGATATTGGATAATAAATTGAACTCACTAATAGAATTTGAAATACTTTCATGCTTACTTATCTGGTTGAGATGTCGAAAAGACTTGAACTGACAGCTTCTGAGCAAAGAACATAAGAAGAGAACCGATAATAGGTGAAAAGGTTCTTGGCGAAAAGGATAAGAACGTAGAACTCTTTGCATATTTCTGTGCCATCTAATGGAGGTGGCGTGCATAAGCACAGGGATATACACTAATCGACATGGACTTCACCTGACGGACACATCCGGAACCAGATAGTCTTCATTTCAATCCTGAGAAAGGGGGGACAGTCCGCAAAACACAAAATAGAGAATGGGTGTATATATGAGCTAAAACCATTATCTAGTACGAAGCACCTTCAGAGTAAAGCTGAAAGACTACACGGCGATTAAAGATAGGTAACCCAAAAACTGACAGGAAAAACTACAAACGACAACACCACAGGGATCAGATAGAAGTCGGAGACATTACATAGAGATATGGAGCGGACCTGTGTCAAGACACCTTGGAAGTCTCTGAAAGGAATGTTGAAGGCAACTAGTACAGCCAGCTATTTTGGAAAAAGACAACAGGCAAGACAAGCACAGATGAAACCAATTAAAGTCAGCGAAGACACCTAATCACCAAAGAGTAGATGCAAATTAAACAACAGACTGATCATTTCAAACGACTGTTAAGCCCAACATCACCTATAACTCGTAGAGAAATACGACACACAACCACAGAAATGTCAGTAAACACCAATCTCTCAACAAAAGCAGACGATTCCAGTGTCATAAAATTACTAGAAGGTGGCGGAAAAAGCGGCAGAACCACACGGAATTACCCCGGAAGCACTGAAAATGGACCCAGAGACCTCAGTCACCATCCTCACGCCATTATTACAGCAAGTTTGGAAGGAAAGGTTCCTACTGATTGGAAGAAAGGCTACATTGTCAGGTTACCAAAGAAGGGTGACATGGGACTATGCAACAACTAGTGTGGAATTATATTCCTATACGCGCCAAGCGATTATTACGTCGCGTTATCCTGGAGAGACTGAAAGATGCTCTGCATGCAAAACTCCACCCCCGGACAAGCTGGATTCAGGAAAGGCGAATCGTACGCAGATCAAATTCAAACTCTACACATCACCATAGAACGGAGCTTAAAATGGAAGTCAAATCTCTATCCCAACCCCACCGACTTTGGAAATGCCTTCGACCGCGTCAATTGCAAAGCAGTTTGGAAACTAGTTCAATAATGCAGAGTGCCCAAATCCTCTGTTTATCGCCCTCATCCAATAGCCACATAGTAGCGCACACCTCAGGTGATCCGCAAATTGAGCGTATGAAGTGAAGAGAGGAGGAAGACAATGCTGGCTACTTTCACCGATGATATTCCTAATTTTGGTGAACTGGAATATGTGGGAGACTGTGAGCAGCGAGACTCTAGAAGATGTGGATTTGGCGGACGATTTATGTCTAACGTCACACAAGTTCGATTATTTGCAGGGGAAAACCGACAAGTTGGCAGAGGAGGCTGGAAGGGAAGACATAACTTCAAGTAAACATAGCGAAGGCGGAGGTGATGAAGACAACCAACCAACAACAATAACAAGCACCAACCACTATCGACGGAAGAAATTTAAACGAGCTAACTTCTGCCACTTACTTAGGCAGCATTGCTTCAACTACAGACAGCACGGAGACTTAGCACATCACGAAAATCATTTCCAATAGCCTGATGAAGATGGAGATGTGCAGTTAAAGCTTTATGTTTCACTCGGATCCCAAGGGAATAATAAAAATCATAGTAACAACTGCAATATAATGTTTGAGTGTCGCTTATTAAATGTAACCACTTGGGTCATGTACAGGTTTGCAAAAGTCTGCTTCGGAGAAATGACTCAGTCGGGATGATGTTTCGAGATATCAAGAGAAGAACACCTTGGGAGGCACAGATTTTGCAACTGACTCACGCCATATTTTCCACACACACACACACATTCGAAGAAGTATGAATGAAATCGAACAAGTTGACAAGAGGGGCAGAGAAGACAGGAGTCTCAGGCGAATACAGAGAACGCAACCACATGGAAATATTGATATATTTATAGTAGTGATAATGATAGTGTCATTAGAGAATATTTTATTACTATTCGGTCACTTTTGGCGTTACAAGTGCTACTTAATAGAAAAATAAAACAACAATCGATGAAACTCATCAAATTTTGAGTACAAAATGAAAGTGAATATTGTGTAAGCCAATGGAGGAAAAACTAGGAGAAAAGAAACAGAAACAATGAAATTTACATGTGGTTACATGTTAGTTAATTTCGCCACCTATCCCCAACCGCCTTTGCTTTCAACTATCAATGTGTATGCAAACAGATAAAATAAGTTTAAACTTGGATTCCAAAAATAGTGATGTATGCATGTATATAACGCTCAAGACAGTTTGATGGTTTAAGTTCTATGCATGAATTTGGAGAAGCACCCACCCACACACACACACAGACACACTAACACTTGTGTGTGAAATGACATGGAATTCAAAGAGTCAACCGAAAGTGGTGTACAGAGAAAAGCGGAACAAGGGAACTAGCAAACTGGAGAGATTAAGATTAAGAAAATGTAAGAAATTATTTGGGGTAATTATTAATTGAAATGGGTTGTTGTTGTTGTTGTTCTTGTTACTGTTGTCGCTTTTCGATAAAATTAGGAGGAAAAAGCAGAACAGAACAGAACAGAATATAACAATTTTTCACGAGATGTGAGTACATTTCTCGGAATTACACACCAGTAGTATTCATTTATTAAGAAATTCACTTAGTGCACACATGTCAAGAGGAACAACAAGGAGATTTTAGTGCAACGAAACAGAACAAAAATGACGGAGATAAAATAATAGTAATTCAATAGTAATTCGCTCAAGTATATTAAATGGAGTAGTTATGCCGATTACTCTGTAATCAGTCAAGTGAGCAGGTGAACAAGACACCTGTGTGTGTGTGTGTGTATGTGTGTGTGATCAGATTGCGATGAATCCACAGAGCTAACCGATGAATTTATTAAGAAGTCAATGTTCAACGGCCAAATGTGTTTAACAAAGGCAACAGAATAAGTAAACACACACACACACACACACACACACAAAGATATATCTATGTACAAAACTAAGATCTATTCAGGAATCCACTCAAACAAACAAAAATAGCATTGATTCCATTGAATTCAATCTAAGCAATTGTTATAAGTGGCATAGAATGTTGTTCTTTTTGTTGTTTCGGTTGTTGTTGCTGTTGCTGTTGTTGTTCTGGAGGTGGCGGTGGTTGTTGACCTTCAAATGTTGCGGTTGACGACGACGACGATGATGATGATGATGATGATAAAATTGACGTATTCTCACCAATTTCATTATCACAATTAGTCACATTAACAACTGAATTGGTCAACTGTTTCCCATTACCAGATATTGATTTTATTGTATTCTGTAGTAGCACTGCCTTATCATCATTATCAGGATTCTTTGCTCCACCATCATCACTATTATGCTTATTAATTGAATTACTAGGATAATAACAATAATCAATTCCAGCTGATATATCCATCTTCTGATGTAATTCAACTCCTTCATTATTAATATTATTACTATCGTCGTGTTTAGGTATGGTGAATAATGTAGACTTGTCAGTATAACAACTTGACTGATTTGGAAGAGTTTGTTGTTGTGATGACGAATCACTTACTTTATTGTCATATTCATCTAGTGTGCATGATGAGGTTTCAATGCATCGTTCACGTTTAAAAATACTTAAAGTACCTTTAGCTTTATTTTCACGTAAACTATATAAAAAAAAGAGAGAGAAAAAAAAAGAAATTGAATTAGACAGTGTCTCGTTTTACTAAAACGTAAGGCTGACATTATTGTTATTTATTATTATGACAACCACATTATTGTTTCTTTGGGATAAAATGTGAAAACTCTGGTGGGGACTATGTGTGATATGCATATTACTGGGCTATACTGTCTTTCTACTTGAGAATCTCTCCTCACCTACCTGCATTCCGAGTGGAACAAAGGGATTCACACTTGACCCTTAAAGTTTCAATCACTTTGGTGTTGTTTTTACTGTACGAGGTGGCGATAGTCTCACTCCCAACCTTTTGCTCTCTACCGGGCTGACTACTGGATAGGCGATGATTAGGAGTGCTTCGGCCAGGAATCGAACCTCGATCATATGTGTCTGAAACACGCAGTGCTTTATGATATTGCATGCCTTCTTTGCGCGGTGTCGTGCTAATTTTTCCCGTATTGTTCCAGTTTTAGTAAATATATATATATATATATATATATATATACATATATATATATATAAATATCATAAAATTATGGTAGTACAGAATACAAAAATACCCAATGATCAATATGACACTTGAAAGCGAGGAAAGCAATGAACTCCGAGGGCTTATTTGGTGAGCAAAGACATATTAAGTCAATTCAGACGTTTATTTTGTAGGCTATTCCACGAAACAACGTCGAGTAGACGACTATCAAAGTATGTTGGACATATATTTCACCCTCGTCTTCGACTCTTCAGCAGTATGCACTTATGTTTCCATAGCTTTAAGGCTACCGGCCGATTATGTATACCAACCAACTACTTTTAAGTGTTCGTTTGTAGCGATTTGATTGGTTACAGGATTTTCATCATGAGCTGATATTAGTGAGCATCAGATCAAGTTAGAATTCATGAGTTCGAAACTCGGTGGGTACGTACTAGAGAAGAGTCCTGAACTAGGACGAAACAGCTGTCCAGTACTCCCACGTTTTCCAGTGGTTCTCTAAATGATGTCAGCTCATGATGAAATCCTGCACCCTGAATACTAAGCATTATAATGAATGCTTTCTTTACCGAAACAGAACAATTTATTTGGCTTCTTGCTATATTCACTGAAATTGTGATTTATGGTTTGTCTATATTTCAGTAGGACAGTGTTCCTACTGGGATTGGAATTCTGTACTAGTCTAGTCATAGCTTAAAATGATAGAGTATAATGTGTTAAATTATCTTAGTACGTATTGATTTTTTCTATTCAACAGGGCAAGTATGTTACTAACCTGGGCTGTTGTTATAATCTAACTAAGAGGTATTTTGTTTCGCTAAATCAGTACTAACTCGGACTGACGTCCAGAATAAAACAAGAACTACACGGAGTATAGTAGTAATCTTATATTATTAGGATAACTGAAATTCAGACTTTCATTCCGTCAGTCAGATCAGAAGCCCATATATATACATATGTATACTATTAAAATAGTTAACACACAATCCACTCAATTTTTATAATCTTGAAACAAACTGAGACCATCGAGCACTGATAAATGTACATCTAGTCATAGTCACATTGGGAGAAACAATGCCACTAGAATAAATACGATCGACACACACACATTAATAAACATAAAATTTGACATGGTAACACATTACAGTATAAACAATGAAGATAATAGTACACTGTCTATATCTTCAAGTATTAGCATCACATGATAACGTATGCGATATTAGAAAGTGAGTCGTCAACGGAGTATGACTAATTTTTCAAAGATTGAACTAGATATGAGAAACGATTATTTAAAGGTGAGAAAATCACCTTCATCGCCTGACCCCGAGTTAATCTATCTCGTTCTGGTATAGACTATTGAAGTAGTGTTGATACATTCATTTTTCGTTAGTTTTTATTAAGCCAGACCTTGCAGTACAGATATTTATTGTACGTATAAATAAATTGTAGTAGAAGTACACACTAGCACACTTACACACACACACACACACACACACACACACACACACACACATATATATATATATATATATACACATATATATACGCACACACACACACACACATTAGAGATTTTTACTACACTGTTTAGTGTGTATATTTCGTGGGAGTGAATTCTTCCGACAGACGTTAAATTGAAGACATCTTGAATTTATTCTATTGTTCTGTTTCGGCCATTTTGCCTACTGGCATATTTTAGTTTCCAGTAGTGTATAACTACTATAATAGTAGTTATTGTATTTTACTCTGATTACTGATTTTCACACTTATAAAGCATATGATGATAGTGATAAGGTAGAACTGTTTGTTTTAAGAAGTGAATGACAAGATGTCCAACAAATAAGCTATTCAGACTACTAAAGTCTTTCCAAAGTTGACAAGATGACAACAAGTGTACAAAATAACTATTTTCTTTCCAGTGTGTATGACCAAACTGGTGTGTCAAACACAGAACCTTTGGAATTCAAGTAAAGTAAAGTAACACTGGGAAGCCGTATTTTCGGCTTATTATTAGATGACACTGTGTCGGAGAAAATAGAGGTGTCGATTGGACACACACACACACTAAGGAGACGGTGGAATGACATGACGCGTCAGGCCATCGCTGGAATGGAACGCGAATAGGAAATGTCGAGTTGGGACTATGGCCGAGGATAACATAGCGGAGATAGTATGAGCGGGAGATGGGAGCCTATGAGCAATCGTGGAGCCAGGTTAAGAGGACCACAGAGAATAGAGGACAGTGTGACTGTGTGCTGTTGAATCGGTATGTTCCACTCGGAAACCAAGGCAACAATGATATATACAATAATTTAAAAGTAATTGGTTACAGGATTTTCATCATGAGCTGACATTAACTAGAGAACCACTGGAAAACGTGGGAGTACTGGACAACTGTTTCGTCCTAGTTTGGGACTCTTCACAGTACACACCCACCGGGATTCGAGCCTAAGACCTTCTGGTTCCAAGGCTAGCTCGTATACCATTAAGCCACTGGGACCCGATGCATTGGCAGCCCATGAGTTCTAACTTCTGCCAATTCACGACATAGCGCGACCCCAAGCCAATGTCTTCGGCGAGTATTTGTCCTCACAGCTGACCTGCTGCACCCTGCTGGTCAGGACTTCCGGTCTGTGCGTACTGATGAAGAGTCTCAAACTAGGACGAAACAGCTGTCCAGTACTCCCACGTTTTCCAGTGGATCTCTAATTTATGTCAGCTCATGATGAAAATCCTGTAACCAATTACTTTTAAATTATTGTATATATCATTGTTGCCTTGGTTTCCGAGTGGAACATACCGATTCAACAGCACACAGTCACACTGTCCTCTATTCTCTGTGGTCCTCTTAACCTGGCTCCACGATTGCTCATAGGCTCCCATCTCCCGCTCATACTATCTCCGCTATGTTATCCTCGGCCATAGTCCCAACTCGACATTTCCTATTCGCGTTCCATTCCAGCGATGGCCTGACGCGTCATGTCATTCCACCGTCTCCTTAGTGTGTGTGTGTGTCCAATCGACACCTCTATTTTCTCCGACACAGTGTCATCTAATAATAAGCCGAAAATACGGCTTCCCAGTGTTACTTTACTTTACTTGAATTCCAAAGGTTCTGTGTTTGACACACCAGTTTGGTCATACACACTGGAAAGAAAATAGTTATTTTGTACACTTGTTGTCATCTTGTCAACTTTGGAAAGACTTTAGTAGTCTGAATAGCTTATTTGTTGGACATCTTGTCATTCACTTCTTAAAACAAACAGTTCTACCTTATCACTATCATCATATGCTTTATAAGTGTGAAAATCAGTAATCAGAGTAAAATACAATAACTACTATTATAGTAGTTATACACTACTGGAAACTAAAATATGCCAGTAGGCAAAATGGCCGAAACAGAACAATAGAATAAATTCAAGATGTCTTCAATTTAACGTCTGTCGGAAGAATTCACTCCCACGAAATATACACACTAAACAGTGTAGTAAAAATCTCTAATGTGTGTGTGTGTGTGTGCGTATATATATGTGTATATATATATATATATATGTGTGTGTGTGTGTGTGTGTGTGTGTGTGTGTGTAAGTGTGCTAGTGTGTACTTCTACTACAATTTATTTATACGTACAATAAATATCTGTACTGCAAGGTCTGGCTTAATAAAAACTAACGAAAAATGAATGTATCAACACTACTTCAATAGTCTATACCAGAACGAGATAGATTAACTCGGGGTCAGGCGATGAAGGTGATTTTCTCACCTTTAAATAATCGTTTCTCATATCTAGTTCAATCTTTGAAAAATTAGTCATACTCCGTTGACGACTCACTTTCTAATATCGCATACGTTATCATGTGATGCTAATACTTGAAGATATAGACAGTGTACTATTATCTTCATTGTTTATACTGTAATGTGTTACCATGTCAAATTTTATGTTTATTAATGTGTGTGTGTCGATCGTATTTATTCTAGTGGCATTGTTTCTCCCAATGTGACTATGACTAGATGTACATTTATCAGTGCTCGATGGTCTCAGTTTGTTTCAAGATTATAAAAATTGAGTGGATTGTGTGTTAACTATTTTAATAGTATACATATGTATATATATGGGCTTCTGATCTGACTGACGGAATGAAAGTCTGAATTTCAGTTATCCTAATAATATAAGATTACTACTATACTCCGTGTAGTTCTTGTTTTATTCTGGACGTCAGTCCGAGTTAGTACTGATTTAGCGAAACAAAATACCTCTTAGTTAGATTATAACAACAGCCCAGGTTAGTAACATACTTGCCCTGTTGAATAGAAAAAATCAATACGTACTAAGATAATTTAACACATTATACTCTATCATTTTAAGCTATGACTAGACTAGTACAGAATTCCAATCCCAGTAGGAACACTGTCCTACTGAAATATAGACAAACCATAAATCACAATTTCAGTGAATATAGCAAGAAGCCAAATAAATTGTTCTGTTTCGGTAAAGAAAGCATTCATTATAATGCTTAGTATTCAGGGTGCAGGATTTCATCATGAGCTGACATCATTTAGAGAACCACTGGAAAACGTGGGAGTACTGGACAACTGTTTCGTCCTAGTTTGGGACTCTTCTCTAGTACGCACCCACCGAGTTTCGAACTCATGAATTCTAACTTGATCTGATGCTCTCTAGCGACCGGCCTTATTCAGGCAGTGATCTGGGGTTCTAGTGGGAAGCCGTGAGCAATAGGGTACAGCAGGTTGAAGATGAGACAGTAACTCATAGAAGAAGACATTGCGAAATAGTCGCGCTATGTCATGAATTAGCCTAGATTACTAGGTCACTATTATTCTAGCCGGTCCCAAGCCCGGATAAAGAGGGAGGGTTGGGGCGTGGTGCTAGCAACTCCACCCCCAAAATCTAACCAAATTGCTACTAAAACTTCAACACACAAATATATTCAAAATTCTACAATTACAAATAGTGACCTTATTTTTCGCTGGAATCGGGGAAGTGAAATGACGCAGGCTGGTGAAAGCCTTCGGGAAGCCAGTCAGCCGATGTGCCTTCTTTCGATGAAAGCAAAAATAAGGATGGGGACGTGGAATGTTCGTACAATGTACGAAGCTGGGAAGGCTGCTCAGGTAGCGGCAGAAATGAGGAGATATGGAATAGAAGTGTTGGGAATCTGCGAGAGCAGATGGAACGGATGTGGAAGGAGCCAACTATCAACTGGAGAGACAATAATCTACTCCGGTCACCCAGAGGACGATCACGAGCACACCAAGGGAGTAGCCATCATGATGTCACCAACAGCGGCTAAAGCTCTCATGCAGTGGGAACCAATCTCCTCCAGGATAATGACAGCCAGGTTCAACTCAAAAGGAAAAAAGGTTACAAACATTCAGTGCTACGCGCCTACAAACGCCTCAGAACATGAGAAGAAGGAGGATTTCTACAGTCAACTACAAACAGTAATGGACAACGTCCCAAAGAGCGATATCAAAATCCTGATGGGCGACATGAATGCGAAACTGGGAGGAGACAATACAGGAAGAGAACTCACCATGGGTCGCGAGGCCCTCGGTGAAATGAACGAAAATGGTGAACTCTTCTCAGACTTCTGCGCCTTTAATGATTTGGTGATTGCTGGCAGTGTGTTCAAACACAGGGATATACACAAGGCAACATGGATTTCACCAGATGGACACACCAAAAACCAGATAGACTTCATTTCAATCTCAAGGAAGTGGAGACGGAGCCTACTGGACACAAGATCGAGGAGAGGAGCAGATGTGGGTTCAGACCACTATCTAGTACAAGGGACTTTCAAGGTGAAGCTGAAAGCCTCGAGGATACCTGGGGATAGGCCACAATGCAAGTTCAAAACGCAAAAACTGAAAGACACAACCACAAAGGACACTTTCACTGCAACTGTCAGAGCAAAGCAGGAAACACTACGTGGCACCACCGAGGAATCATCCGTGGAAGACCATTGGAACTCTCTGAAGGTAATTTTCAACGAAACGTGCTCAACGGTTTTAGGAAGAAAGAAGAAACAAGACAAGGAATGGCTCTCAACAGACACTTGGAAACTAATAGAGGAGAGGAGAAAGGTGAAAGAAAAAATGATTCAATGCAAAGATGGACAAGAGAAAGAGACGCTGAACTCAACTTACACAGCACTGGACAAAGAAGTGAAGAAGAGTGCCAGGAAGGACAAAAGACAATTCTACGACAACCTGGCTACTGAAGCTGAGAAGGCAGCAGGCGAAAGGGACCTGAGGACACTATATCAGATAACCAAGTCTCTATCCTGGAAGAGATCAACACAAGTGAAACCTATAAAAGACAGCCAAGGGAACCCAATTACCAAGGAAGAAAGACAGATTAAACAATGGGCGGACCACTTCAAAGGACTCTTGAATCGACCACCACCTGCAACCCGCCCAGTAATACCAACAACAGCACGTACACAACTGCAAGTTGACACCAATCCTCCAACGAAAACTGAAGTCATCAATGCAATCAAGCTTCTGAAAGCTGGAAAAGCAGCTGGACCAGATGGAATACCCCCGGAAGCACTGAAAGCGGACCCAGAGACGACAGCAGATATGCTGACTCCATTATTGCAAAAGATCTGGAAAGAGGGAAAGGTGCCTACTGACTGGAGAAAAGGTTACCTCGTGAAACTACCAAAGAAGGGCGACCTGGGACTCTGCAAGAACTGGCGAGGAATCATGCTCCTGTCGACGCCAAGTGAAATCCTGAGTCGCATCATCCTGGAGAGAATCAAGGACGCACTGGATACAGAACTCCGCCAACCAGAACAAGCTGGATTCAGGAAAGGCAAATCATGTTCTGACCAAATTGCAACTCTACGCATTATCATCGAACAAAGCATGGAATGGCAATCAAATCTCTACCTCAACTTTATAGACTTTGAGAAGGCCTTCGACAGCATTGACCGTGAAGTAATTTGGAAACTACCCGAGTACTACGGCGTACCCCAAATATTCATCAACCTTATTCAACAACTGTGCGACAACGGCACATGTCAAGTGATCCACAACGGAAAACTCAGCGAGGCGTTTCGAGTAAACACAGGAGTCAGACAAGGGTGCTTATTATCACCAATGATATTCCTAATTGGGGGTGGACTGGATTATGCGTCAGACAGTGGGAAACGAGAAGACAGGGATATCCTGGACGGACGTGAAGAACATAGAAAACCTGGATTTCGCGCGTGGATGATTTATGTTTGATGTCACACAAAGTCGAAGACTTACAAGTGAAAACCGACAAACTGGTCGAAGAAGCAGCAAAGGCAGGACTGCAGGTGAACATAGACAAGACGGAGGTCATGAAAATAACCAACCAACAACAACAGCAGCAGCAACATCCAGTGCCAATCACCATCAACGGGAGGGATTTGAAAGAGGTTACTTCATTCACTTATCTAGGGAGCATTGTCTCAACCACAGGAGGAACGGACGAGGATGTCAAATCGAGAATCGGTAAGGCGAGAAACACATTCATCAACCTGAAACCAATCTGGAAATCTTCGTCACTCACCATCAACAACAAAATTCGGATTGTCAATACAAACGTGAAGTCAATTCTTCTATATGGATCAGAAACTTGGCGGGTCACCAAGAATATTTCCAACAGCCTGTTGCAGACCTTTATCAACAACTGTCTTCGCTCCATACTGAAGATAAGATGGCCTGAAAGAATCACAAACAAGAAGCTATGGGAACAAACGAAACAGGAACCAATCGCCCAACAAATATGCAGGAGGAAGTGGAGATGGATTGGACACTCGCTGAGGAGGCCGTTGAGTGACATCGCGCGTCAGGACATAGCTCGAGTGGAACCCGAAAGGGAAGCGGCGAGTGGGACGTCCAAGGGTGACATGGAGGAGATCGTGTGAGGAGGAGATGAAACAGTATGGAATAACATGGACGCAAGTGAAAAGAACAGCAGAAGACAGAAGCAAGTGGAGACGTGCAGTTGAAGCCCTATGTTCCACTAGGAACCCAAGGGAACAATAATAATAATAATAATAGAATTCATGGGCTGGCCATTGGATCGGGTCCCAGTGGCTCAATGTTCTACGAGCTAGCTCGCCCTGTGACCAGAAGTACCTGGGCTCGAACCTCGGTGATGCATAATGCCGAGGCGGAGTCCCAAACTAGGACGGAACAGTTGTCCAGTACTCCCAGGTTTTCCAGTGGCGAATATTTAAACTCACAGGCTACCTGCTGCACCCTACTGGTCAGGAATTACCGTGGGTGCCTACTGTGAAGAGTCTCAAACTAGGACGAAACAGTTGTCCAGTACTCCCAGGTTTTCCAGTGGTTCTCTAACTAATGTCAGCTCATGATGAAAATCCTGTAACCAATCAAATCGCTACAAACGAACACTTAAAAGTAGTTGGTTGGTATACATAATCGGCCGGTAGCCTTAAAGCTATGGAAACATAAGTGCATACTGCTGAAGAGTCGAAGACGAGGGTGAAATATATGTCCAACATACTTTGATAGTCGTCTACTCGACGTTGTTTCGTGGAATAGCCTACAAAATAAACGTCTGAATTGACTTAATATGTCTTTGCTCACCAAATAAGCCCTCGGAGTTCATTGCTTTCCTCGCTTTCAAGTGTCATATTGATCATAGGGTATTTTTGTATTCTGTACTACCATAATTTTATGATATATATACTAAAACTGGAACAATACGGGAAAAATTAACACGACACCGCGCAAAGAAGGCATGCAATATCATAAAGCACTGCGTGTTTCAGACACATATGATCGAGGTTCGATTCCTGGCCGAAGCACTCCTAATCATCGCCTATCCAGTAGTCAGCCCGGTAGAGAGCAAAAGGTTGGGAGTGAGAC